TACATATGGGGAAAAAAAGGATTTGTTTTTGACACCCACTGTATTTTTATTGAGATGCATATGCTGCATTAATTAGGAATTTTGCAGAGAGGAAAACTCAGTTAACCAAGTTTTAGATTAGATTACAGCATTGTAGCATCTCCGTGTCTCCTCGAGTGTCCCACAGCTGCTGCGGGTTGGATGGTGACCCTGTTTCTGCAGGTCCCGTCCCATGGGATCCTGCTGCTCTGCTCGGCCCGGGGCTGCCTCTGCGGGTCTGCTTTCCATTTCTGAAGTTTGATGCTGACTGTGTGTAGGACTTCTATTTGACCCTTCAAACACGTTTCCAGCCCACTGGAGACACGCTTGGATTTGAAGCAGTGCTTATTCAAAAAGAAAATTCTAGTAGCAAACACATGAAGAGCTCTGCATGGGAAAAGGCTTTTAGATCAATGTTAGTCCCGTGAGAGTTGCTGACTTTTTGCACTAACAATGGTGCCAATACTGTGATTTCTCTCTCCTTTTTTTTTTTTTTTCTTTTTATTAAGGAAAACCTTCTCCCAACTATCCTTTATTTCCAAAATGAACCTGTTAAGGGTTCTTGACACTGGAACTTCAAATCATTAAAGAAATCTTACATATAAACAAGATGTAAAAATACTGAAATTTGGCAAACTTACCTTTAGTGTAAAATCATGGTCTGTTTTAAGAGCGTACAAGATATATGTGTTAATTTTCTATGTGTGACTTTGTGTTTAGTTATTATGTTAGTATAATAACAAGATAGCAGGTAGTTTTGAAGAAAAGTAGGAGTAGACAATACAATTGTAATCAGCAATTATTGCTAAATAATTATTAGTTTTTAAACTTGCCATAAAGCCAGAATTATTTTACTCTTGCAGCAGCCTAGGTTGTGAGTGTAGCTTCATTATCCCATTTTGTCCTGTACTGCTCTTGAAAGTCTTGCTATGTTTCTAAGTATCCCACAGGCTCCCTGAGCACATTTTGATGGAGGGAGTGTTTTTGTCATTCTTTTTAGCTTTAGTGGCAAGATGCAACCCATTCATTACATGAGCCAGTGCTAAAATATTTAAGGACTGTTCTGTGTAAAGAAATTTAGTAACAGGTGCTTGTAGTGGGACAAGAGCTAGGGAGTTGTAAACCAGAAAAAATAACTCATCGTGCTAGAATGTTTTCCTTTAGACCCTCCCTCGGTCTCAGGTATTTGCTTTGTAAAAATTGCTGTCAGGGGGTAATGAATAGTGCAGGAAACACGCGTTCCCACATTGGGCTGCAGCAGGAGGCTTGCTGCAGTTAAACTTCTCAACTTCTTTAAGGTGCTGGAAATTACAATGAACTTGCCTTAGGGCAAAATGCATTACACAAATCTTTGATCTTGATTCGTGACATGGGAAACCTCTAATGCAATTTCTGGCACTGCATATAGCAAAACAGCAAATGGAAAGGGGCAAAGCTTTTCCTTTTTCCCTAGGATTTAGCCTAACAGTGAAGCATGATGCCGAGAGATGGTGAGAAAACCTTTTCCCCCATTCCCAAACTTCAGGAAGGCTTCAAAAGCTGCCTCAAAAAGCAGATGATGACAAAAATGGATGATAGATCTAGAGATCTAGATCTAGGTGCTTGCAGCTTCCATGCATCATAACTTACAGGTGTTTTTTAGATTGCAGAAGGGGGAAAAAAGAGAAAAAGCTACCAAAGTAAACATAATTCAGTGCATGCGAAGATGACAGATTCTTTCTAACAATATTTTCTGCTCTCCTGAAGGAGGACCCATTTGTTAATAAACCATTTGAGAATCCATTTTAAAAGGATTTAATAAAACATATACAGACTGCCTTGCATTGCAGAAACTATTATTCCCTTGGGTAGAAAAAGTGACTGACTCTGGACATTAATGGCTCCTTCCTGTGATTCCTGGCATTATATCTTGCTCCCATTTGCACTTTTTCAAACCAGAGTGAAATAATTTTTCATGAGAATCCTGCACTTGATTCGTACCTCTCATGAGACATGTGTGTGTTCTATATTTTATTTATTTGTATTCAATCGTGTCCCTAATTCTTGCTGTTGTAGGAGCTGTGTCTGTAGCAGGGATATTGTGTGTATTTGTGCATACTTCCTGCCTATAAGAAAGTTTCCATAAGCAGCAAGCTCCATTAAATGGGGGAGGTAATAGCTTTTGTGTGAATTAAATGAATTGTTTTGTTATTGCCAAGGATTTTCACTTTCATTAATAATTTGCATGTTTTCCTCCAAACTCTATATTTGCTATTACAATGGTTGCTGCCAACGAAAAGAGAAACCTTAACTTAGGAAATACTTGTCTGAAAGGGCCTGGGTGACCCACAAAGGAGAAAAGATGTTTTCTTAAGAATTTGGAGGAAGGTTTTTTAGTACCAATATTCCTCATATAAACACCCAAACTCCAGATTTTGGCTGGAGGGCATCGAAAGGCACCTGGCCGGGAGTTAGGGAGAACGGTGGTGCTTGTGCAGGGCAAGGTTACAGGTTACAGACCTCTGGAAGGGCAGTTGGAGGGAAGTACAGGCATAATCCTCAACAGAGATCCTGAACTTAAAATCTCTGCACGTAGGAAGCCAGGTAACTCTACTGCACATCAGTTAATGACACACTAGGGATCACTGGACAGTAAAAGGAGTAAATTAAAGTATTTTTTCTGTCTACTGGACCAGATCTTCTCAGCTCATTATAAAATGTGTGGGTTGCCTTTTGTTTTTTTTGAGGGCAGTGCAGAGCACCACCAGACAAATATGCCGGCTGGAAGAATGGATCTTTCGCTCCCTACTTTGATAAAATGTCATCTAGGAACTTAGAAAAGAGCGGGTGATGACTGCTAACTACAAAACGACCCCTATCCATCTGGCCACTGATCCTGTGTTAATGTCCAATTTTGCCTTTTTATATATATATACACTCACATATGTATATATATGTATAAAATGTTCATTATGTTCATGGTAGAAGTGAAACAAGCTGCACATTTTTAAGCACTAAAATATATAAATGCTAATGTCAAATAAATTTAGAATTTCTGTTCCGCCTTAGATATGGCAGTCTTGGTAATCAGAAAAACAGGTAATTTCTCATTTTCTTGTTTTGTGAAGTGCCTGAGGATGCTCATTAGTGGCCATTTTCATACTTTTAGAGAGTCTTGCTTTGATAACTTGAAAATCTGCATTGTTTCTAATCTGCAAATTTAGTGGCCCTCGTACTTATTAACTGTCACGTAGCTGCAGAGCTATCTATAGTAGGGAAGTTTGTATTGATAAAAGCAAATACTGAATATTATAATTTCACAAAAAATAAGTGTTTTGATTTTTGGCTTATTTGAACAGTTCAAGTGATGGACCTTCATTGCTGCTTTTGTGCTTGTTTTCAGATGTTGGACAAATTAAGAGATCGTTGGATGCATACCGGCTTGTGGAGAAACCTGGAGCAGGTCAAGACAGTCATTGCAGAACCTCAAGGAGGAGCAAAGAGCGACTTTGATGAACTGCTTAAAATATACTATGATGCAATAAAATGTAAAGGAGGAAAAGGTATGTTCTTCAGACGTATAAAGAGTTTGATAAAGAGGCTTCAGAAATGGGAAGGAGATTTTCTGCTGTTTGGGTTGATGCATTAGGATACACATAATACAATGCAAATTTATTTTGCAGCATCTCCACATTATTGATCAAAATAAAGTTAATCTCATTGTCTAAACGTAAAGTGCCTATTTTTATATCTGGTCGCCTTTTCCAGGCTGATGTATGCTGTATTATGTTCTATTGTGCTTAGCTTTTTAAGATCTTGGTGAAACTTTCTTCTGATACTCAGTTTATCCCTGGGAATGATTTGTAAATCCTTCTTTGGCTTGTTCAAGAGGGAGCACTCCTGATAGCTGTGTGCAGAGGAAAAGTGAGTGAAGGCTTGGATTTCTGCGATGACAACGCCCGGGCAGTTATAACCATAGGTATTCCGTTTCCAAACGTGAAAGACCTGCAGGTAGGTTATCAACACTAGCTGAGAGTTGTATTTGACTTTTATGTAATGCTCATAATACCTTATGTGCGCAAAGGACTTTTTTTCTTAATGTTTAATCTGGGTCTTCCACCAATCTTGTATGAACTAAGTTACCTTCTCTTCTGGGAAGAATTTATTTCCTGGACTCATATTGTTTTAAATAAATATATTGCTGATTATTGTCTGATGTTGCTAGTGAAGGCACAGTTAAAGTGCTCGTGCTCACTATCCCTATACATGCACAGTCCATGATTCTGCCTTCATTTAAATGCTTTCATGTACTAAAGCTTGTCTCATTTGTGCAGATTTAAACCCACCTTTTGATTTATCGTAGGAGGAGATTTGGTTTTGAAAGTCTAGGACAAATGTTAGGAAATGTCTATTAAGAGATTATTAAGCATCCTTCAGGTGGCCAAAGTAGCAATACGTGAAGTGTCGTGTGATAAACCAGGAACAGCTTGACACTGGTTGCTGATAACGCCAAATCAAACTAGCAAATTTATAGGTTTGCATTTGAAAGCCCAAGGTTATAGAGGTTATAGAGATGTGTCGCCTATGGTCGGCTACAGCCTTGATACAAAAAAATGACATCCTATAAGGACTGGAAGGGTTATGGTAGCAGTGATTGCCAATGTCCTGTTCTCTCAATGTCTGCATAATTTTCTTGAGGCACTTCCTCAATCATAAGATTTTCCTAAAAGATAATGCACTCCAGTATAAGGATATGCATACACAAAAAATATTTAACACTC